TCCCCCACATATTCGAGGTGTTGGGGTTAATTTGCGCGGCGAAATCCCTCGGCTTATATGCAACCACGGCCAAGATCACATGGTTGAAGTGATCCCGGGGATGAACCCACAAGACGTATCCAAGTTTCATCAAATCCGCGCTCAAAAGAAGCGCCTGGGCAGTCCAGTTAGCCAATTTGTTCGCGTTGTTCTTGAGCTCCGTCGCCAAAACCGCGCCTCTCTGAGTCTCCAGCTTCTGCCTCCAATCGACACCCGAATACTTGGGATCAAATTGGTTCAGAGCGTTCAATGTCAGGAAAGATCTCTGGTTGTTCACCTCAACAACACTCTGAACCTCGCACCGGGCCACCAGATACATGTCGTCGTCAAGCTTCCACCGCGGTACCGGTATGCGACGGAGGCGACCTCTTCGCCCTCGTTGGCGAACGGATTCCGCTCATCGAAAGTCACCTTGTTCCCGTCCCTGATCAGCACCTGCTGAGAGAAATTCTGGTTGATATAAGCGGCCTCAACGCTGAGCGAATATGCGGAATTGATGTCGTCCTTGGCCTCCGGCAGAGGCTCCTGAGAGGTCTCATGGACGGAGAGCAAATCGAGCTGCGAACCATCCCTCTTGTCGAAGAAAAGCTTGTTCCCGACGCGCTGGATCACAATGTCCCAAGAGTAAACCGACCTAGGAGCGCACATGAGCGTGGAGAGGATCGTATCGGTGGCAAAACCCGTAGCCTTATCCTCATTCGCAAGCCGGCGGATGACGGGATCATCAGTGGTGGTGACCTTAAAGAAATTGCGGTTCTTGAAGCGCTCGAGGCGGCGCTCGTTCTTCGGCGTGATGCGGTCGAAGGCGCGGTCGTAGAACTCGAGGCCGCCGCAGAGGAGGAGGTCCTCGGGGTCGGGGCTCGGGGCTCGGGGACGGAGAAGAGAGCTTGGAGAAGGTGGAGAAGGGTATCTGGTCGAGCATGTCCACTCCGGCTGGATATCGACTGAGGATTTGAAGACGGCGGCGTCGCGGCCGGGGGCGTTGGCGTTGGAGCGGTTGAGGTGTTAGAGGCGGTCGCGGCGGGCTCGCTCCTTTGAGTAAATAACTAGAGTTTAAAAATAATACCAAGCCTTTTTTCTTTTTTTTTTCTTTTTGAAAAATATCAAGCCTAATTTACACCAAAAGATAGCTGACTTTTTTTTCCCCCTCTTTAATAAAAAGTAGAATTTTGGGCTATAAAGAATTGGGTTTAAATTCTATGCATGCCCTATTACCATCAAATGCCTATTTTAAATGTTATAAGTAATTAAGGGGAAAAGGGGAAAAGAAGACGAATGCATTCTAAGAAAAATAGTAAAGTGATAAAATTAAAGCACATCATAATAACTCTAAAAGAGCCAAGTTTAACGTACTCAATTAAATTAAATCTCGAGCTTTAAAGGGAACTATCACAGATTTTATATTTAGATTGACATATGCCAAAAAGACAAATTATTATTGAAAATACCAGTCATGTCATCACACTATATTTAGAATACCAAATATACTCTTAAAATACCGGTCGATATCCGGTCACAATAACATTATCCACCTGAATACTGAATGGTTACCGACTAGTATATGCCGGTAACCACCATTACCAGCGGCTAACAGGTATCCACCATTGCCCACGGCACCACCGTCGTTGGAACCAACCAGTAACCATAATCACTGATATCTTGTCTAGGAACCACCGGTATCTGGCCGATAACCAACAGCATCTGAGGCGGTAACTAGTGGTATCCAAGTCGGTAACTAGTAGTATATTGGCAGGATTACTGTGATTGGCGGCAGTATAGCCGTCACCATTGTTAGAATACCAAAAAATTTAGCAAATTCCCAAAAATCCACTAAAATTTATAAGAAATACACCAAAAATCCACCAGATCCACAATCAAGAAAAAGAAGAAAAAGAAAAAGTTTCGGCTTTCAATTTGGAATCTCCGCCGCGCAGATATCTCTGGATCTCTACCGTCACATATCTCCAACGTTGCGATGGAGGAGATCTCCGGATTTCCTCTATGTGACAGAGGAGATCGCCGGATCTCCGTCATGAGTGGAGGAGATCTCCTCAAATCTCCTTTGTGCGATGGAGGGGCGATGCAACACCGAAGAAAACACAGTAAAATTTCCATGAGTGAATTTGTGCATTGACGGCTCTGTGCTATTGGAAGGAGAATGCTGAGTTCAATGTCAGCGATGAAAGACACGACGATCATCTGCACCGGAATCACTAACGAACTCCTCGCACGGCCTTGCGATTCCGCCGAACCTTAATGGAGATGAGACAATGGAGAAGATGGAGGCTGCTTCCTATGAGAGAGAGAGAGAAGAGGAAGAAAGAGATAAAGCCCTAGGCAATTACAAGGGTAAAAAGGTCTCTTTACTTAATAAAAGTTTTCCAGCATGGCAGTTTTTGCAATGATCTTGAAGTCTACGGCATAAGTCGATCCACACTGGAAGCGTGGCAGCCCGCTGGGGACTACATACATGAAAACTGAAGACTAAGTATGATACTTTTTTTTTTTTTTTTAATGATCGAGAAAATTTTAGTCTAATTTAGACAGTTTGACATTTGACTGTAATCTTTTTAGAATAGTAAGTAATAGAATTTTGACTTGATTAATAGAATGTTATGTAAAAATTTTATGTACGGGATAAAATTTCTCAAAATGTGTAAAATTATAATACAAATATTTTTACAGAGGAAATTCGTAAATATTAGTTATAAATAGTAAAATATTAGTTAAAAATTAGAAATTTTAATGAGTATATTTTAGTTCTGAATAACTGATATATTTGGTATGTGACCAAATGACAAGTTAGAAAAATAGTAGAAATGTTAGAAGTAAGGAAAATAGCAATAGTTCCTGAAACATGATTTTTCCCGAGTCAGTTAAAGTGGGAAATAGCTCAAAAATCAGTACCGCAAAGATAAACGTTTTGGGCAATTCTAGATCGATTAAAATGAAAATTTCAGAAAAAGAAATTGACTAATGAGATACCCAAGAGAATTGGGTTGAATATGAGAAGTTTGACCCAGGGTACTCGACAGTCCAGAAATGCAGTACAGAACCAGTACCGGGAGTGAGATTATTGGTACCGAAAAGAGGCTCGTTTTGAGAAACGGAAAGTTGGGTTTCAAAAAAATTTAAGGAACACAGAACCATTCAAATTAAGTGTTAAACTTAAGAAAAATTAGTAGAATTAAATTATGAGAATTAAGGTATTTTCTTTAATTAGAAAGTAATAAGAAAATATTAATAAAATATTAATTTTGTTCTTAAAAGCACTTAAGAAGGAATTAGAAGACAAAAGTGTTCTTCTTTTCCTAAGTGTGGCCGAATAGAGAGAAAACCAAGGGGAAATCAAAGGAATCAAGCATTTTTATCAAAATTTCTTCCGTTCAATCTGGTAGAATCGTAACCCGAGACATTCTAGCAGAAAACCCCAACTTCTAGAGGTAAGATTTCGGATTTTTCATGTGAAATCTTATGTTTTTCATTTTGGATGAATAGTAACCAATCTTGAAAAACTTCCGTAAAAGTAAAAATCGAAACCGAGGTTTTGTAGAGCACCGTTGTAGGAGTCTAACAGTGTAGGTATTAAAACGATTGAACGAAGTTTTGGGGGATTTGCACTAAAATCCGTGAGCCCTAGATTGAGAACGAACATGTGTTTTTGTTCAATTTTATGTTGGAATTTGTGTTGAGGAATATGAATCCTGACTCCAATTACCGAAATCGGAAGATAGAACGAAGCTCGGGAAACGAGAAAAACTAGGCGGAACTCTGCCGAAATTTCTTAAAACCTAGTTAGTAAGTAATGAGTTATGAATTCGATTATTGAGAATGAATAACGATTCTAAGGCCCATAAATGAATAGATTGAGGTTCAGAAATCGAGACACACAAATTTGTGAAATTTGCCTCTTAAGTTAGAAAGTTTGGCTTAGAGGAATAAAGTTCAGAAATGAGTTTGAAATTAGATTTAGAAATCTAAGTATGAGAATTTTGATGTTTGGAATAGGAAGTTGATACCGATTTCCATGAAACAGGTTTTGGCACGAAAGTCTAAGCAAAAAGGAAGAACTCTCAGCAAGCAGGAATACTAGCAAATTATTTGTAAGTGTAGACATATATGTTTATCTGTACTCAAGTAAACTATAAATAGACTTAGAATTATGAATTTATTTGTATTCCTAAGTTAATGTAGAAAGGCGACATATGTTTCCCTAATGCTTAGTTTAAGGTATGCATGAAGTATTATGCTTCTCATGTTAGCATGTGCACGTAGAGAAAGCGTTGCATATCATTTAGTAAAGTTTTTAACACTTTGAAATGCAAACCCAAAGTTCAATAAAGCTAAGAGATTGACGGGTCGTCGGCCTCCTAAGGGAAGAAATCTCAAAGAATAAGAGATCCCAGCTAGACCAGACAGTAAGCAGGGACCCAGGCCCACAGTAGTAAGAACAGAAAGGCAAAAAGCAGTTATTTAAAGCATGTTTGGAAGGAAACATATTCATATGTGCAATCCTGCATTATGACATTATATAGTTTTACTAGTTTTGAGATGTGTGCATGTCTATACTTGCTAGGCATTCGCTCATCAGTTTACTCGTGTTGTAGGTAACACAGGTAAACAACCAGCTATATAATAGTTCTGTTTGATGGACTGGCAGACGCAAGGTGGTGGAAATGTCATGGGTTCACGGGAGTGGTGTCTACTTCGTCCGCTTAGGAAAATTTCCACTGCAGAGAAATGTAATATAGAACACAAGTTGTGTATTCAATTTTAAGAAAGAGATGCTACAGTCTTAGTAAAGAACAACGGACTGTAATAAGTTAAGATAAGCTTTGGGGACAAATTTCATAACTGAAATCACAAAGTATTAGTAAGATGTATAATTAGAATAACAAAAAAACATGCTAGGAACCTGTTGAGAACCCGAGAGTTAGAAAAGAAAAAAAAATTCATTGTATATGGACGTAATATAAAGAGGTGATAGTCTAGTAACAAGTAATGGATTAAACTATAATTCGGCCTACTAGCAGTAGTATAAGGTTGGCGCCCCGCCGCCAGCCAACCTGACTTCCAGGGCAGCACAAGGGAAAACAATAACAAACGAAATGCAATAAATATCCTTGCTGACTGTGACTACAAGATAAATAAATGAATAGCATCTCTATGGATCACGATCACCACAAACACGAAACTGCATTTCTCCAAGTCCATCAGCGCTCTTTCAAGTCAACTTCCAAAGCGGGTTAGTGAATCCGCAGAAAATCTACGGCGCAACAACATAAAATACAGTTTTGGGAAGTCCTGGTCAGCCATGTAGATGTAGACTATTGAAATAGTCGGAGGAAGTTGTTCGCATATGCCATCGGCTTGACATCGGGGTGTGGCTACAGTTTCAAACGAAACATTCATGACATGTTACTTTAAAAGGAAATTTTGTGGCGTGAAAAATAAAATGGCATTTGGAGAAAATGTTGGGGAAAGTCCGCTTTTAACGGCAGGAGCAACCTACCACTGCTGAGAAGGTGACAATGTTAGGCTTCAAGTCAGGTGCCTCGAAACGAATAAAGGCACCTTTATTACCCATCTGCAAAGACAAGTTGCATGTCAACGTTAAACGTAAATTAGGCATGAGCTTAAAGGTTCGATCTTACAAAAATTAGTAAATAAAGAGCACACCAATTGCACCAATATCAACAAACTTCAGTTCACCTTCTAAGTTAGCATGCAATAGTATAACCTCGACAAATTAGGGGGCGTTTGGTAGAGGGATTCGTTCCCTGATTCGAATCATGATTCGTGGTTCGTTACAGTATTTTCTCTCACAAAAAATACACGTAAATCAAAAATGGTTCGAATCACATAGTTTGAATTCTCCAACCAAATGAACCCTTAATAACCTCAATTAAATAAATTTCTTGCCGGTCCCAACTTGAAAAACTCATTATCTCGGTTAATAAAATTTCCATGGTCCCAAGGGTATTAATTTATGGAGGTTAACTGTACTCCAATGTATGATACAGGTAGATAACTATTTCTTTGGCAATGTACAACTACCACTAAGAAAACTTGTTTTCTTTCAACAAAAAAAAAGGCATAGTAAAACGCTTGCCATCGATTTACCTGGTCACAGTAATTTGGCGCAGAAAATACAGTGATGAGTTTACCATCATGCTCAATCTCATAACCCTCATCCTTTACTTCATGAGAGCGCAAAACTAAATCTGTCATTGAGTAAATATGTGTTAAGTCAACGACTTGGAACATTGCAGGAAAATAATATATATATATATATATATATAAAAGAAACCATCAAATGACTTGAGATCAAGCAATAAGAACAAAAAAAGGAGACATACCTAAATTGTTGTCCTGCAAGAATCTCTTTGTTACATCAGCACCAAAAGAAAGGCCCACACCTCGTTTGCTTGGGCCTCTTCCCAATGAAGGTTGTGGATCACTCCACAGCAATTCACACATCAACCCTGAAGAAATCCGGATAAGTATAAAGCCCACCAGAAGAAATCAAGAAGAAAATACAGAATGCCTGTAAGATCATGTCATGTATGGATAACTTCACATGCATATCCGTTCTCTTTCAGATTCCACAGTATCACCACCTTTTTAAGTCTAGGAGTCTAGTCTACAACTAAGGAAAGGAAAAAATTGTCCTTCTTACCTTCCTCGGGAGGTTCGCAGAAACGATCAATTGCTCTAATATCAGAAAGTTTCACCCCATCAACACTAAAAAGACCTCCATGAACCACAAAAACCTTCTGATTTATTACATGAGCCAACGGTAAGCAACAGAAAACTTCTGCAAATAGTTCCACAAATGTTTCACTTAACTTCGAACGCACTTCACCTTCAAAACCATATATTTTGTTCATGCTCTTGCTCTCGTGATTTCCTCTAGCAAGGTGCATTGCTGAAAATTTTACAAACATGCTAATAAGTGCTGATGAAATTACAAGGTTAAAGAAAAATTTCGCAAACAAAGTTGAAATGTAATGATGGCGGGCACAAAAGTTATAAATGAAGGTGCACTCCAGAAGATGCCAAAAGAAAACAACTTGTCAATGTTGAAAAGGAACTTTATTTATGAAAATCAAGAACCGATAAATTTAAAAAATGAAATAAAAATACGTCAACAGTTGCACACTCTACTCCCCATGTAAGACCAGTAACAAGTTACATGGTTGTTAAGCAGCTACTAAAATCAGACAAAAATTGCTCAAAGAAGCAAAATATTGGTGGAACGCAGTACTAAGTTTGGGGGAAAAATGCTGACAAATGAAAAAGTCAAGAGGGGTTGACCTGACGGAGACATGCACTTGAACGCAAACAGTGTGAGGATGACCTCCAAAGAAAATGATCCTCTATCCACAAAGTCACCATTAAATAAATATGGATTCTCTTCTGAAGGAAGCCCATTCAGCTCAAAGATGTTGAGGAGGTCATAGAACTGCATTAAGAAGAGAACAGTTTTAAGTAATAAGCAGGAACCTAATATTGGAGTATTTCCTAGGAGCTCAGAGATAACGTAACACACACACACACACACACACACACACAAAAAGGAAAAAGGGGAGAAAATTCTGATACCCGAAGCACCGATAAAGAGTCAGTAAGCATAAAGTTTGCAAAAAAAAAAAAAAAATTTTGGCCAAACCAAAACCTGTGCCAACTCAAGACGCAATAGTGTAAATGACATATACTAGCATTGCAACCAAGTAACAGAAAATAAAATTAAAAATAAATAAATAAATAAGACATGTCAAATGACAGTCAAAACCCATGTGATCTGAATAATCTTTCAAACAAGTGACAAGAAGTTCCTATTCACTAAATATTAAGAGACTGGAAACTTCTGGTTGACAAGGTAGGATAGCTGGTTACGGAGCTCTCAAGTACTATTCGGTTTCAGGAGTGGAAGTATATTGTATACCTATCAACCCATGCAATTGTTACCATCCACCTCTACAGAATCAACCACACACTTATTACTATAACATCTCAGGCGTTCAATTCAATTCATTATCTTCCCTTGATTTTCCTATCAGCCCAGGCTTGCTCGCCCTTGTTTTTAAATAAAGCATTAGTTCCTTTTCAAAAAAGAATAATAATAATAAAATAAATCACTAGTTCCAAAATTTTAAGAGTTAAAAGAATTTACCTGACCATGCACATCACCACAAACAGTAAAGTGATTACCCTCTGGAACGGTTATATCAACAAGGGAAGGCAGAGCCCGCAACATTTCTCTTGTTTGCAAGACAATCTGGTATGCATATCTAAAGGTCGAAGAAAACCAAAATATAAAAAATAGACCGATTATCCATTTATAAGTAGGTATAACTACGAATACTCTTTTTGCCATTATACCGTTTGTGCAAGCTTTTTTGGTTCTTGAAATCCTCCGTCATTTTCTTCACAAAATCCAATGTTATAACATCTCCTCCAATTTTTGGACCTGAATATTGTGGCTCCACATCTGGATGTCAAAGAAAAAGAAATTTAACACTTAGGGGTTAAGAACCAAGTTATGAAGTTCCTTCATGAAAGGAAACTACAAAAACTTAACCAAGATCGCCAATTAGATAGAAAAAAGACTAAAAGATTCAACTAAACATGTAAGAACCAGATGCTTGGAGCATATAAACCTCATTCATAAAAGTAGAATCCTCAAGCAACATGCATTTTAAAAGCTGTTTAAATAAAGGCACTCAATCATACACGGATATTGCTCCTAGTCCAATGCGTAAAACACAAACAAGCATAAAACGGAGCTAGACCTCCATAAAGCTACACTTTCTTTAAATTAATAACGAGAAAATACATCGAAATCAACCACACTATATTAGCGTACTGGTACTCCATAAACTAATCCACTAGATTTGGAATTACTCCTAAATTTTGTTTCAGTGAGATTTACATTTGATTTGTTATTTTGATATTTTTCATATATTTAAAAATCATTTCCTAATCTAAAAACTGTAACTTATCCAAAGAATAGCATAGTTAAACACGAGCTTAAAAATAATACCAACTCTGACAAGAAAGAGAGAGAGAGACCAAAATCTCACAACTTAATCAGCTAAAGAAATCATCTTATGCTAGAGAACTCTATTGAAGAATGTCCTTAGAGAGAGAGAGAGAGAGAGAGAGAGAGAGAGAGAGAGACCAAAATCCCACAACTTAATGAGCTAAAGAAATCATCTTATGCTAGAGAACTCTATTGAAGAATGTCCTTTGCTCAATAATTGGTAATGACGCCAAAAATGATATCACCAAGAAATAACCTCAACGATGTAATGTTTGATCCTGTAAGCTTGAGGTTAAGTACCACGCCCAACAGGTCACACTACCCATCAGTATCAGAGAATGAATTTATTTCTTATTCAGTTCCTAGAATCTTAAAGCTTATTCAATATTGGAATGGATGAGAGTTACACATACGACTTGTTGCAAGCTCAAACCTAGGTCATGTACTTGACTTTTGGTATAGATACCACCCATGCAGCTAGACCACCACCACCAATAGCACCACCAATATTGTGGATACCACTACGGCTGCTGTTGTTCCCACTATCATCAACACCACTGCCACAACTGCTACTGCCACTGCCGCTACAGCCACTTCAGTGGACATTGATGATGGATTGGGTTCACCTCCTATGATACATTGTAAAAAATACTACAATTAAACTAATTAACTTTCAAGGTATAATACAATAAATACAACACTGATGCTCAGAAATGATCAATGAATTAATCAGTCTTCATAGGCAAAATCCAGGCTGCTTAACGCATACCTTAGAGTTAGAGACATAAACTTCTTGCCTAAAAGATCAAAATATCTAAGATCATGGGAACAATCTCAGGAAGAGGATGGACAAATGACAATTTTATTCTATTGAACCTTCATGTAGCGTTGACAGTGGATATCTAATCAGCTACAATCTACCTAAAAAATTCCCATACTCGCATGTGTTAGGAATACAGAGGCAAACACATTAAAGTTGCATATTTTCTCTCCAGTATGGGAATACGCTAATAGATGTGAGCTGAATTCTAATCAAGACTATCCACCTTCCATAGTTTTATGATCACTGATTTTCTGTTTTTTTTTTTTTTTAAGGAACACTTGATTCTTTTGACCATGCAAAAGAACTACATTTGGGCAAAAAGTAACGCTAGGAATGCCAAATTAATGCACCACTTTATTAAGTGATTTGGCAATTCTGTGGCCACACAATTAAACTCTACTATCCCTACTTAAAGAAAGTGTTGCCAGCTTTGAAAACTACAGTGGCCCATCAATTGGTCCATGAGTATGGCATCCATTACACTAATCTTTGAGAAAATGGAGGGCTACAGAAAGGTAACAATAAATTCATGATTAAACCTTAAAAATCAATAAAGTCGATACTAGGTATTTGCGTGTCATTTACATAGATTTCTTTTTTAAAGATGACTAATCCAGTTATTAGGAATTGCACTCTACTGAAGTATAAAATCTCAAAATCTACAAAGGCCTACTCGCTACAAACTACCAAACTATAAAGTTCCCATCCTCACCAACCAAGTCTATAACCTAATTTCTTTACACGATGTTCTCACGTTTCAACAAGTGTGAGTATTTTGAATCAAATACATGAAGGAATTGGTGCATCCGAACCAGGAACATTCTTATTATCGCAGAAAGAAATAACAAAATTACTCAATCTTCCAACCCAAAAACGACAAGTTGAGGCCTCGTTCATTTCACCGATTCGGTTTTCAGTAATATGTTTCTACAATTAAAAGTTCTCAAAAAAATGACTAATCCAGTTATTAGGAATTGCACTCTACTGAAGTATAAATTCTCAAAATCTACAAAGGCCTACTCACTACAAACTACCAAACTATAAAGTTCCCATCCTCACCAACCAAGTCTATAACCTAATTGCTTTACACGATGTTCTCATGTTTCAACAAGTGTGAGTATTTTGAATCAAATACAGGACAGGAAGGAAGCATCCGAACCAGGACATTCTTATTATCGCATTATTGCAGAAGGAAATAACAAAATTACTCAATCTTCCAACCCAAAAACGACAAGTTGAGGCCTCGTTCATTTCACCAATTCGAGTTTTCAGTTTTATGTTTTTATAATTAAAAGTTCTCAGAAAATGTCACATTTAACTTTTTCTGCTACAGTTAAAAGCTCTCAGAAAATGTCACATCTCAGCTCGAATTGAAAACTTGAATCCGCAAAGCGAACAAGGCCTGAATGTGTATGTTATTTTGTAATGATCAAATCAATATTATTTCAAATCTTGATGGCATTGTTAACCTAATGAAGCTGAAATCCATAAATAGCTAACCTCCCAACTAAATACTCAAAATTGGTTTTCCTTAAAGGGCTAGTTACACTATTACATACTTAAGATTGAAACCCCATGCTTAACAAGTCACGTTACCTATATACTGTTTTGACTTTCCCAATCATGTCACCTATCAAAGGTTTATACTTTGAAATTCAAAATCTTAAACCAGTAGGATTGTGCAATTTGCCAACCCCCAAAAATTTCTATTTTTGAATATATATAGTGTCAAAAGAATAAAAGTGCTGCAGACACCAATCAAAGGTTGACATGTGGATACCTCCAATAATGACACGTAGAACCCCTAAAACAACAAAATAGAGTGAGTGTTAGGGATATTATGAGAACTTAGCAAGACTCACGAGTCTATCCATAAGCTCATCAGCATTATCGTGGGAGCACTTTTATTTTGTCAGAAAAGGTCTTAACATCAGGTCTAGCCTCTCATCATAGGTTGACATAAACTGTAATTGAGTTCTATGAATCTAGCCACAAGTGACATAAACCCCCTAGCTAAGATACTATAGCGCTAACAGACGAGATAGCAATGACTCAAGCAATCACATCAGACATGCATTGAGTAAGGCTCATGAACAAATCATAGTTTAAGCTAGACCTTTAAGCAGAGGGTTTTGATTGACAAACTTGCTGATTCGGATCATACTATGCAATATGCATCTTACTATGTCTTAAAGCATCAGATACATACAATCAAGACAAGCATGAATTATGAGCATATTATATCAAGAACAACAAATTCAGACAGAATGAGCAGAAACATTGTTTGAGTATATGGCCAGTCGACTACAAAATTTTGGAAAAGAAAGTTAACAAAACCAGAAAATGTTTATATGTAAAAGAAAATAAACCTAAATAACAACACGTGTAACAATACTTAATAATAAAAATGGAAGGACATTAAAATATGAAGCAATTAGTAATACCTATAGTACGATAGTCAATAGACTCCACAATGGAACGCCTTTGAGACACTGGTACAGCAATTGCTTCTTCAAATTTAAGTTTCTTTACTACTTTCTCGCATTCTTTCAGCTTTCTGGCAGCATCAGGGTCATTTGGACAGAGTCTCTTGACCTATTTTAGATTAAAAAAAAGAATAAATTAAATGCTAGTGTAACACAAAGATGAAATAGAATTTTTTTTAAAAAAAACATGAAATAGCAAGGTTAAAATCCTAATTGAAATGGGATACCCAATTTCCTAAACTATCCTCCCTCAATTATGTCCTTGAATCGTGCTTTAATTACGTGCATACGGTTATTTTGTAGTCATTACCACTTTATGTTCAGTCCTAAAAACAAAGTGAACACCTCGGAACCTTAACTCAATTTCAATTTGATTTCTACTTCAATTCCACTAGAACTTAATTTCAAATCCTTTCATTACACATTTCTAAATGTGCCAAAGATTAAAAGGAATATCAGTTAATTTCTGGTACTAAGCAACCCATGAAGAAACCTAGAACTTAACCCAAACCCAAAGGAACTATAGTTCCTCATGTAAATCTTCAAAAAAACCTCTTAGTCCTTCCAAACAATTACACTCAAACCCAATCCAGTTAACATAAAATTCACTTGCATATGCAAGTCAAGAATCCCATGCCACATTGTGCAACTTCAAAAACTTCTAGATATTGGATATTGCAAAAAACTAGAAATAGGTAAACATAGGAACACACTATCAATAGACGGCAAGCATGGTATCTTTGGCCAACCAAGTCAAAAATCCAGATTGAGAACATCCTCATAATTGAACTATACATAATGCTCGATTTGTTTAATTATTTAAGAAAAAACATTTAGCTCCTCTACCGATGAACATTAAACAACTTTCCCTTTAAATCTATCAAACAAAAACAAAAGGGAAAAAACACCTGCTGAAAATCCTTGAGAGCTTCTTTGAATTTCCCCATAGCAAGATGAGCAGCACCTCTCCTGTAATAACCCTGTATTACAATAAAATTATTAGAAGGTGATCAAGGATAATTACATGCAGAATAACCATGAACTCAGAATGGAAATCATACCTTTGAATATTTAGGATCAACTTCAATAGCCTCTGAAGCATCCTGTATGGCACTACCATATTCCTCTAGTTTAAGGTGAGCAAATGAACGGTTCGCCCAATATACAGCATTCCGACTGTTTAATTCAATTGCTTGTGTGTACAACTCAATAGCTTGAGCATATTTATGAGCTGAAAGCAAATTGACAACATTAGCACACACAGCTGAAAACATAAAACTACATAACATAG